TATAGCATTGTCCGTGAAATGTTTATTTGCAAATTGACATCCCATAAATTGTGATAATTCCGTATTTTTGAATTTCTATAAGAATTTTTCTATACATATTAGATTAGCAATTATGCTAAAATGTCTTTACGAACTGCTACCTTTCTAAATTTGAGCCCAAAATATTTGACTGGTTATTTTTGAGATGTTATTGAAAGTGATTGTTACTAATGGTTTTAGTGAAATTCATATTAATAATTTCAGTGATATGTTGAGTAGATGATATTGCTGCTTTGGAATGTTTAAAGAGATTTAAAAATACTTTAAGTATGCAAGTGGACTCATCCGGTGTGCCGGTGAGGTATACGTGGACCTATCCGATATGCCGGTAGGGATTAAGTGGACTCATCCGGTACGTCGGTGAGGTATAAGTGGACCTACAGGGATTAAGTATACCTATCTGGGATGCCGATAGGGATTAAGTGGACCCATCAGGACGCTGATGGGGTATATAGGTGACCTACTTGAGACATCAGTAGGGTAATTTGTGAAATCTTTTGAATTATGCACTGCCGTTAAAATGTTATATGCATTTCAATTATTCGGATTATAATTAATTATGCATTTTTTAAAGTGAAAATGTTAATGCATTTCTGTTAATAGATCTACTTTTTGAAAATATTGATATCTTTCAATTATGATTATTTTTAGGATTATGATGATCACTTACTGAGTAACCAAACTCATCAAATTATGGTAAACATTTTTTTCAGGATAACTGCGGTTTTATTTTGAGTGCTCGTTAGGATCAACTCTGGAAGATATTGTAGTTGTGCTTAAACTTTCTTTTGTTACTTTGAAAGAATTCGTCACTGTAAATTTGTCCTATCAAGAGATGTATATATGTTTTGACTGTCACATCTCAGAAATATCAGTATTGTAAATTTTTGGGGTGTGACAATTTCCCTTTTCTTAAAATCGACATGTGGAAGGCTGGAGAACTACCGTCGGTGTCTTGCTTATAATCCCAACCTTTCCATCAGACAAGAGCAGAGCGGAATGGAAGGCAACAGATACGTGTGGCAACGGGTGGGGTTTGGTTGGACCCAGAACCGAATGTGAATAGTATTTGGGTTCATGTTTTAGACCCGGATGTGACTCATCAAATCCAAAATTTACATATCTGTACTTGTTGAGTCTTGAGTTCACTTGTCAAATCTTGGGTCTGGTGGGGTTCATTGCCACCCTAGTATTATGAGATTATTTTTTTTTTTGCCATTTTTTTACTATCATATGTCCATATTATTAGCAACAAGGTCACAATCACTCGCCATTAGCTTTCAAGCAATCCAATTTGTCTCTTAATAGTTAAAGATGACTACGAGTTCTTATTATATATGATCCTTAATGAACTGAAATAAATAAGCTTAAAGTAAAGTATTTTATCTCCAACGGTTTACAAATACGGGTCTGGTCCGACTGAACCCGGATCCGAATAGTATTCGATTCCAAGTTTTGGACTCGAACCCGAACTGTTGGGTCCAAAAATTGGGTCACCCATACCCGAATCGAAGGTCGGGTCTACCTAACAGGTCCTGGGGCTGGTGGGGACAATTGCCACCCCTAACAATAGAGAGGGGGCGAGAGGGACGCGGCTATCCTCGAACCCATGTGGTTCCCTCCCGTGTTTTAGGTTTGCATGAGAGTGGCAACGGGCCGCGAACTTCGGGTCATTGTTTGTCCCAAGGCCTGACCTTTTTTAGGGCCGGGCCAACCGGTCGAGGCCAGATTTAAGTCTTGTTTGTGTCTGACTCCGCCCCTGCATAAGGCGGCGTCGTTTTGAATGGTTGAATGGAGTGAATTGAAATGGCGGACTTAGTATGCAGAGGTTTGCGAGATGGGGTTTTGGAGGGAGAATATGCACCTGCTTTACTCATAAAAGATACCCTGCAAATTTCTCTGGGAGTCCATGTATTCAATCACTTTCTCCTCTCTCTATCTTCGAATATTTCATCGGGAAAAGCTCAGTCCAGGTACTCAAAAAACTCAAAATCACTACAACTTTATAGTCCTGTGATTTTTATCTAATGGAAAAACAAAGAAAAATGGGTCATTAAGTTCTTATGGTTTCTATCTTACTTTCTTTCTCCCTCACTTTTTTTGTTTTGGAATTTGGATTCTTTTCTTGAAGGGGGTTGGTCGTTGTCGCGTTTGCTTGTCCACCTTGCTTTTATGTTGATTTATTGAGGAGCAGAGGAATTGGTGTAGCATCTTTGTCTAACTGGTAAGTTAGTCGAATAAGGTTTAATGATCTAGCTTATTTTTACATTTGCGTGAGCTTGTTTACTGATTCATACCTTCATTTTGTGCTTGCATCTTATGTAATCATGGTTATCAACCAATTTGATTCCACATAGAAGTGCTGAATTAGTGAAATATAGATGATATTCTTTAGTCTGTGAAGATGTGTGTAAGATAGTTTTTGCTCTCTCTGTCTCTCTAATTAAGAAAAGGGAGACTAAAAGTAAAGATCCCATATTCAATAGGGAAAAGTTTATATAGAGCCGAGGCTCTAAATAATCAAATTTGAGCCTACCTCAAAAAATTCACTAGAAGAGGTTGTTTTGATGGCCAAATATCATCGAATTGATCATCTCGACATCAAGATGCATGGACATGAGCAAAAATGGATTTCAAGTTTTGAAAATAGTGTATTTGGTAATGCATTTTTGGATCGTTAATTTTCAAGATTTTCAAGTTTTCATAGATCTGTTGATCTACATTATTTTTGAAGCTTTAAATTTTATAAATAAAGATGAAAATATATTTTAAGGCTATCACAAAGATTTCCAATATTGAAACGACATTTTTCGATACTATTTGAAGGTAGGCTCTAATTTTTGTTTAGAGCCTAGGCTCCATACAAACTGCACCCTATTCAATACGGCCATGGAAGTATTTATGCTATGGTCCTGTAGTTTCTCTACTCTGCATTAGACAAAATAGTTATTTTGATATGTAGGTTCTCATTATAGAGATGATGAGTTAGAAATTCAGTTACTAGGATAGTGAACATGTCTAACCATTGGATAATTTGCTACTCTTTACCAAATTACAGAAATAATATTAGAAACAATATTACCTTCGCGATGGCACTGTATTGTGAAGAAAGGTGGTTTGATGAGTAGGTATCCCATACATAGAAGGAGCTTGTACCAAATTATTGAAAATGGAAGTGATCAACAGGAAAGCTACATTCATGACGCAATTGACATATGTCCAACTATAAACGATTAATAATGTCACTTTAGAATTACTCTATTGGCTCCATGGCATGAGAAAATTATTTTTAAGGGAAATATTTGCAGATTCGAGTTAATATCTTCTTTTTTTTCTTTTTGAATAGCATTCGCCCTTAGAAAAGAATGGGAAGTACAATATTTTTTCTGATCACTACATGAGAACTGGAATATGTCAAATACACAACGCAAAGGAGGCAAAATCATCACATGATATTGCAATTGAGGCATGTCTGAATGACAGGAAAATTCTGAAGATAAGTAGAAGGTTCAACAGTGATCGTAGACGGCATAATGACAAATTCAAATCTTATGAAAGAATGCTATGATCATTTGATATTTCTTAATATGGATTGTTTAAATTGCTACCAAATAAAAAACTTTTAAAAGGATTTTCCTGTGTGAATTCTTCTAATGGCATATAAGTGATCGACAAATGTTCTTGGTAACATTATTGTCTCAACACTGTTTGAGTTCCTTATAGACGATATTTTTTCACAATGTAGTAAGCAGCTTGGATGCTTTCTCAGGTTGTTAGCTTCTACATCAGTCCAGCATCTTTATGCCTATGATACCTTTGCTACTCCACCCTTTTTTCCCTTTCTTCTCTTATATTGAGCATCAATTTTGATACCAACCCCAACTAGTTGAGATAAGGTTCTGATGATGATGATATATCAATTTAGATACATCTTTATGGTTCCTTAATGGTTGTATTAATTTTTGAATGCCTCGTCCTTTCCTTTATCAAATATTTATTTTGATGCCAATATTACACATTAATCAATTACCACTTTGTGCTGTTTGCAGATAGGCGATGCTATAGCTGAAACATTTGATGAAAATTAATTCTAACTATATTTGATTGAAACATTTATGTGTTAGTTTTTATTTTTTATAATTTTTAGGTCATTTAATATTATTGTATAATTATTTAATTTCTCAATGTTTAATTATTATTTCATGTTTAATTCAATTCTCTAAATCCTAATCATTTTAAAGTTCCTACTTTTTTATTTTTCACATTTAATTTTATGTTCTAATAGGTGTGGCTTCAATAGGCGATACGATGAAGAAAAGTAGACTTAGGTGGGTTTGCCATATGCAGCATAGACTTAATACAATACCTGTTAGGAGGTGCTACTTGGTTCAAGTGGAAGGCTTTGAAAGGACAAATAGAAGGCCAAAAGGACATGGATGGAAATAGTGAGAAAATATATGGGGACTTATAGTTTTACTAAGGGTACCCTTGATAGAGCAAAATGGCGGAACATGATTGTGTAGGTGACCTCAAATAGTTGGATAAAGCTTTGATGATGATGAATTTTATGTTCTAATCATTTTATAGTTCCTTTTGGTGAGTTTACCTTTCATAAATATTTTTTCTAGATCCTACTTATCGTCTTTGGTTTAGTTTTATTAACAAAAATTTTAGATAATGGACAACAGATTTTTAAGGAGATGGACATGACTTTTTCGGGTTAATTGTAAGACTTAACTAAGATTTTTGAAGTAATAAACCTATATGTGTGTGTGTGTGTGTGTGTGTGTGTGAGAGAGAGAGAGAGAGAGAGAGAGAG